AGGGCTGGGGACAAACTGCAACTGAGGTACGTGCCCTTAGTGGGAACCGAACCCAGGTCTCTCTGGTCCTCAGGCCAACACTCTAACCGCTGAGCCAAACTGACCAGGGCTCTATATGTCTTTTTAGAAATAAAATCTAAAATCGCTTTCAAACAGCCTCCACGAAAACACTCTTTCCAGCCAAACCACAGCACTGAGATGCAGAATACGATTTTCATTGACAAGAATCTCCTAGTTTCACAGAGTAACAGGACAGCTGGGTCTAGAGGCCACAAGAAAACCTTTCACCATCTGACTCAGTCACTGAGGAGGACATGAAACCTCGGGAAGGACGATGCTGTGACCCGTGCGGTCCGACTGCCCAACACGCGGACCCACTGGGAGAAGCCACTCTGCCCAAGCAGGGTTCCAACCCTGCTTCCAAGGGCTAACTTTTGGGGCCATGGCACATATAGAAGCAGCTCCCCCGGATTCGGCTGCCTCCTCGTGCCCAGTGCCAACCTAATGGACAGTCAGGGCTGCTGAATGGGTGAGGTGTGAGCCGTGACCTACTGCATGGACGCCCGTGGGCCCAGACTTGAACTGAGGCAAATAAAGCCATGCTCTGCTCTTCACACAATGAGATGGAATTTCTTTCTTCCTGTGGATGACAGGTGTGGATGTGGGATTTGTTAGCACTTTAAGCCGTTGCTTTGTAACTGAGGAGGCAGTCAACTTGACTTGAACATGAGAAGATGATGGCGTTAGTAGTCATGGTAGCAGCAGAGGCGTAATCATCGTCATGGCTTACACTTAGGTAGCACTTATCTGAGCACTGGACACTGCACTTGGACATCAATCCTGCCGCTTAATTAATCCCCTCATCATTTAACCATTACATTTGATGCATTTAATCCTTACAGTCACCCAGCAAAGACGACAGCCCATATTCTCATTTCACAGATGCGGAAACAGGGTAGAAAGAGATTAGGTCATCTATTCAACACCCCATGGCCAGTAAGTGGCGGAGCCAGGATTCAAGCCTGGGTAGCCTAATTTCAGAGTAAAATTAACTTATTTTATCAAAGGAATTAAACAACGACATATAAATAACATGGGGAACATCAAAACAAACGTATTTTATGATCCTGAAGTTGAAAAAGGAAAACAACACAAAAACGTTCACCTTGCTCTCCTTCCCTTTAAATCTGAGTCCCCCAAGGGACAAAGTGTATTTCACTCGACACAGAACAGGACCGAAAGCCACGTGTGGCTGATTACCCCCGCTGTCCACTCCGCAGACGGAGCCCAGAAGCAAGAGCCGCTGTGAACCCGCACAGCCGGGCTCTGGGACCGAGAACCAAGGCGGCCACGTGACTTTGCCACTTGTGCTACGAAATCCCTGTCCATGAAGATAAAGCTGCAAATCTGCAAATAACTTCACTGTCCATGTCAGGAGCTTCCCTGGAGTCCACTGCCCCAACAACAGACCACTCGAACAATCCCCTTTCCACAATATTCCCTCGGCGGGCCAACGCCCCTCAAACACCCGTGTGGCTAGGAGCCTGGTGTGGCTGCTCCTCCCATCCGAAACTGACGTCATGAGCTCGCCAGGTCCGCTCAGATCACTGCACTGAAAGGCCCCTGCAGGCTCGCAAGGTGCACTGGGAACGCCGCAGACTCTGCCCGGGCCTCCCCTGTGAGCCTGCCGAGGCGCCCTCCGGTGGGCTCTGTCACTGCAGTAAGCAATCGGGGGGGTTGTGCTTGGTCCGCAGGCTCTTCCGGCCTTCTTGGGGTGTTGGTGGTCTATCCCAGGGGACAGCCCTATTCTTTTTCAGCTGCTCTCTTATCAACTACGTATTCTTTAATCTCTCTTTCTCCCACACCCACACTAGACCAGGGGCGAAACGAAGTGCGGCAGGAAATGGGATCGTTACAGGAACAGAGAAACGTAAGCCAGCCACTGAAAGGAGCTGAGTGACTCTAATGATAAATTCAACATGAGACTCCAAATTGTATTTCATTGTAGTCACAGTTTAACGCTAAGCTAGACTGGGTTAATTACACATTTCAAAATGGTCTTAACGTGTCCCTAAAATTGAGGTTTAGAAATGAAAGAAAAAAAAACAAAGTAACACCCCTGAAATGCTAAAGTTTAAAGTGTTCTGCCATCTTTTTTTTAATATTATAAAAAATTATTTACTTTAACTCATTTGCCTTAAATATTATGCATCGAATATGAATCTATGAAATACAGCTACTCTTTAAAGAGCAGCTCTGACTAGAATGATTTAAACCTATGTAAATGCAAAATTAGTCACCTGACATCACCTTTCAATTACGTAATCATTTCAAATAGATTCGTTATATTTATCTACACAATTATTAAGATCTAAAACCAGTATTCTAATTCTATTTTATTTCTGTCTCTTTCCACGCATCACATTTTTCCTTAGAAAAAATTTAAATCCGATAAAGATCAAATTGAATGTATTAAGACGCTAAAGATAAGCTTTTTATAAAGTTGAAACCTTTACATAAGAACTTGTCTCATCACATTAAAATGTGAGTCTGGCCCTGGCCAGCATGACTCAGTGGTTAGAGCGTCAGCCCGCACACAGAAGGGTCGAGGGTTCAATTCCTAGTCAAAGGCATGTGCCTGGGTTGCAGGTTCAATTCCCGGCCTCAGTTGGGGTGTGTGTGGGAGGCAACCAACCGATGTGTCTCTCTCACATTGATATTTCTCTCTATCTCTCTCTCTTCCTCTCCCTCCCTCCCTTCTACTCTCTCTACAAATCAATGGAAAAAAACATCCTAGGGTAAGGATTAACAACAACAACAGTGAGTCTGTATAGTGTGTGTGTGTGTGTCCACGCCCAGGGAAGAAAAGTGAGGGTAACATGAAGTCCCACTTCTCTTCGTAGCCAACCCAGCCGTCTCAAATGTCACTGTTACACCAGGTGATGTTTGCTGTCACTGCTGCGGAGCAATAGGCGGAGAGGAAAGAACACGGAGGTTACAGGGGACCAGGGTTTGCATCCGGGCTCCCTGCTCTAACTGGGGGAGATGACTTGTTCTCATACAGCCTCAGTTCGCTGGGGAAGAATGATACATCCACCTCCTCGACAGAGCTGGGGGCTGAGAAGAGATAGAGGACAGGCACGTGTCTGCGACCTGGCACACAGAGGTAAGCTCTCCTTAAATGTCTGGTGCCCAGCATGCACGCTGCTTCCCTGTAATCATGATCCTAAGGATCTCTAAGATATGAAATGACTTCCTAAGTAATTACAGACGTATTAACTACGCAGCAGGATCTTCACGGGTCATACCCTTCCAGCCAACTCGTGAAACAAGCCGGAGGGAATGACTGCAGATCATGTCGGATGTTTATGTAAAAAGATATTCTTCAAAGCTTTCTTTTTAACATCAAAAAGCTGGAAACAATAACTACTAAAATATTCATGAAGAATTAAGAGCAGCCAAAAATGTTCCCAAAATGAAATTAAAACCACAGCCTACAGACCTACTTCTCGACCACATTAACAATTACATTCACATGCATCATTACACACCTTTACACACATATGTGGAATACAAAGATTTGGAGGAAAATTGAAATATTAACAATGACTCTCTCAGGATGATAGAAAACCATGCGACTTTGACTATTTAACTTTTGTTATTTCCTACTGTATACCTGAATTATTTTACCACTTAGAAAAAAAAATGTTTAATCCATCCAGTTATGTTTATTATTTAGTATATTCTAGTTTTTTAGAGAATGGTTTTTAAATTGTAACCCATCTCATTTCCAATAGGATTTGGGATTGCTGACAAAAATATACACAACAGACTAAAATAAAGAGGTGAAGAAAAATGAATATTCAAAACACTTGCAAACCATCTACATTCATACAGACACATCTATCCATTTAGCTGTCATATTTATATATATATAAAAACTTTGTTTCAGACACTGAAAACTAAAGGGAGTTTCTTCAGCTTTCTCAGAAAGGGCATAATGCAGATATGGCAGACACGGTTTTGTTTTTTTGTTTTTTTGTTTTTTATCCTTACCCGAGGACACTTTTTTCCATTTTTTGTTCAGAGAGAGTGGGAGGGAGAGAGAGAAAGAGAGAGAGAGAGAGAAACATCGACGTTGAAAGGACACATCGAGTGGCTGCCACCCACATGACCAACCGGAGCTGGGAACAAACCGCAACCGAGGTACATGCCCTTAGCGAGAACCAAACCCGGGTCTCTCTGGACCGCAGGCTGATGCTCCAACCGCTGAGCCAAACCGGCCAGGACGCAGACATGGTTTTAAACTGTACATTAGCCCTGGCCAGTTTGGCTCAGCGGTTAGAGCATTGGCCTGCAGACCAAAGAGTCGTGGGTTTGATTCCGGTCAAGGGCACATACCTCAGTTTGGTCCCCAGCCTGGACCAGGGCTGTGCAGGAGGCAACCAGTCAATGTGTCTCTCTCACATTTATGGTTCTCTCTTTCTCCCCCCTGCCCCCTCCACTCTGTCTGGAGATAAATGGAAAAATATCCTCAGTTGAGGATTTAAAAAAATAGTAATAATGAAAAATAAATAAAATTGTTGTGAGGATTAAATGAAGTGACAAGTAGCCAATAATTACTATTAAAAAATAAAATAAAATAAACTGTACATTAGGAGTGCCACTTAAGTGATGGTGAGTCACAGGTACATGGTTGGGAGAAGAGGAGGCAGATTCAAAGTCGAGGAATCAAGACCTGTACGGCATGAGCATGAGCATGACCATGACCCAAGGGACACCTTGTAAAAACACACAGATACAAAGACAAAGATACATCTAAATTTAGACAGATTTATTCCTCATACTTTGTCACCTTTATTCATGTGCCTTCGGGAAAAATGCATGAAATATTAAAGTTATGCTTTAAATTGTACCTATAAACTACACCAGGAAAACAGACGTTACCAAAAGCAGCTCTGTGAACACACGCAGGCCACCCGCACGGAAACGGCGCTCACCTTCACTGACGGCGTGGGGCTTGATGACGCAGCAGGTGCAGCAGGTGAACTTGGCGGTGTTGGCTGGCCCACAAACTCCGCTCGAAGGGAAGAATAACTCCATTTCCTAAGGACAAAGAGACATGACGCTGGCGTGCGTGTCCTCTATCTTGAACTCCTGGGGTACTCATGAGAAAGGAAGAACTACATGTTTACTTTCAAAGTTTCAAAATATAAATTCCTTCAGATTTTCTAAACATGATTTTAAATGACTAAAACTAATGAACTAAACCCTGTTTAAAGTGTTAGAGTCAAAAGAACATGTAAAAAAGTATTTCTTTTTTTTAAAATTTTTTAATCCTTACCCAAGGACACTTTTTGCATTCATCTTCAGATAGAGCGAGAGGGAGAGAGGGAGGAAGAGAGAGAGAAAAAAACATTGATGTGAGAAAGACACATCAACTTGCTGCCACCCACACGACCCCAACCGGGGCCGAGGACAAACTGCAACCGAGGTACATGCCCTTAGCAGAAACCGAACCTGGGTCTCTCTGGACCTCAGGACGACACTCTAACCGCTGAGCCAAACCGGCCAGGGCAAGAAGTATTTCTTAAAGTAATGAGAATATGTATCATTCTGTGCCATGATTAAAATGTATGTCTTAACATATTTTGAATATTGGAAGTAATTAATATAAGGGTCTTATTTTCCACAAAGCATTAAGTTATGAGATACAGGTCCAGGTTTAAATGTTTTATTAAAATATGTAAAGTAAAATTAAAAACTAAGAAATCTTTCTAGGAATAGAGATCAGTAGTCAAGAATCGGAACTGTGGCTTGTTAAAACTAATGAACATACCGTAGTCCTATAATAAAAATCAAACCGCATGAACCGCATTTTACAGCTGGAGCCAGGCTGTGCTGTCTTACGCATGGTTCACTGAAACAGCAGCCCAGCGATGCGAACCAGGCACAGAGATGCTCACACTCATCGGTTCTTCTAATTATTTAAAAAGACACTTTCCTATCTCTAAGCTTTTACTACTATTATTTTGACTATTCCCTACAGAGCCCTCTGGCCCAAACTCCAAAGAACCCTACCAAGGTGTAAAGGGCCACTTCGAACATCACCTCCTCCAGGAGGCCTTTCCTGATGCCCCAATCAGTACCCTGTCCTCCTCCAAAGCTTGGCTGTTAACCGTCCTCTGAAGAAAGCAACTAACTTGCTACAGGCGTGCAGGTCCTTTGGCACCTAGAACAAATGGCTCAGAGTAAACACTCAGTTCCTATTGAATTTAAAAACTAAAAGATCATAGGATGTGTTAATTGTAAAAAACCTGGGTACATTGTAAAAAACCACCTGGGAAGAGGAAGAATTATTCAAATAGTACTGGAGCTATTTCAGTGTTAAGACATTATTGGATAAAATGTTCTATTCCTTAGACATCAAGTGCTTTCTGTCATGTTGCTGCCTTTGTTTATTCTTCTGAGGGAAAGCGGTAAGCAGTACAGCTCCGTGTCTGTACCGGAGGGGTTGATTACACATTCTTGGAGAACCCCAAGGTACAGGTAGAAACTCAGGCACCCGTGGGCCCGCCAGGTAAGCAGGCAATGAACGGAGCAATTGTGTGGCAGGAGGCACGGGTGGCACACGGAAAGGAACGCCTCTTGCAGAGTCCCCACGCTCTGCCTCCTTTACGACACAGCTCCCCCAGAGGGCCTCGGGCTCGGTCTTCACTTCCTCTCCTCCCTTCTCTCTCAGACTCACAACCAGGTGGGCCTTCGTCCGACTGAAGCTGCTCACCAGAATGCCGACCCGCCTGGGCGCTGCCAGGCCCCTGTTAGTTCTCAGACCTCACCGCGACTTGACCAGACAGTCTGTGACACAACCCATCACCCCGCCCCCTGGAATGCTTTCGCCACGTGCTCTCCTCCTGCCTCCGGCTGCTCCGCCGCGGTCTCTCTGATGGCCGTGCCCTCTCACTGCCACCCTGGCCCACGCCACTGTCCCTCCAGATCACTGCAGCAGCCCCTCCCCGGGGCGTCCTGGCTCTACCCTTGCCCTCGACGGGCCCCTCTCAGTGCAGCACCCAAGCACGTCGGCCCTCTGCTCACAGCCTGCAATGGCTCTCGTCGTCCCTCAGACAGAAAGAAGGCCAACAAGCGTGTCCCCGTGGTCTACAGGACCACACGGTCGCTTCTGCGACCTCACCTCCATCCGATCCCACTGCCCTGTGCTGCTAACTGACGAAGTCAGGCAGAAACAGGCTACTCTAGGAGTAGCGAGATGGCTGTCCACCTGGGACACAGCGTGCAGGGAGAGAGGGCGGGAGATGACGCTGGGGAGACACAGGGGCCACGTCAGGTGGCGCTTTGGAGGCTATTCCACAAGAGACACTAATTCACTGGAGGCTTTTCAACAGCTGAATTGTTAACACGATTTGTTTTCAAATATCGCTCTGGGCACAGTTAGTTTTACTTAAGGTAAAAATGTCCATCACTTGACGGTGAGAGGAGAAGAGAAAAAAGGATTAGGAAGCTTGTGCAGTTGTCCAGACAAAAGAGAACAGTGATTGAGAGCACAGTGATAAGATTCAAGTCTCATGAAGAGATTTACTAAGAGTTGTAAGGAAAATATATTGATTATTATAGAATTATCTGATATTATTTCATTGCAAACACAACCAGACTCAAAACTATCTCAAAGTCACTGAGAAACTTCTCACGATGCCAAGGATACGCCTGCACCTCATTAATCCAACATCAGTGGAAACCGGTGTCACACCTTATCTGTATGAACTGAAAATGGGCAAGAACTGTAGGAAAACTTTTGCATAAACACTAGAGACACACAGGAAAAGAAACGGTCTGAAGCTTGAAAACAGAGTGTTAGGAGTGTCAAGGAGAGAATATACCCAACGATAGCTTCTTTTTGAATATTCACTATCCACAAACTGGTATTCTTGCATAAATTCAGTAATGTAAACTGTGATGAGCCTCAGCAAATCCAGTCTTTGGAAAGAGACATGGGACAAGTATTTCAGATGGAGAAAAGTTGTCTTGGCCGCGACCAGATTACCAGCTCACAAGGAAGCTGCATCAAAGGACCACCACTGAACCCTAGGCGAAAGGTTTTCTCTGCTAGATTAGCTGTGTGCATTCACCCCAAGCCAGCGGTGACAGAAATGCTATCCTCTGCCATCAAATGTTTTACAAACCAGACCAGAACTGAAACACTTCTAAAGGCCTTACTCGGGCAGCACACGCGAAGGAATCGGGGCCGTGAGCTGCATTTCTGAGGCCGTCGGTTCCAAAGAGGGCTCGGATGCTTCCGGGCGCGTCTGCGCGGGCCACCCCGGAGTTGGCAGGGCCGAGAAGTCTCTTCCATTCGCATATGGCATCATCTCTTAAAATCTCCATGGCAATAACAGGGCCATTTGTAATGAACTGGATCAGCTCACTTAGGAAACAAGGTAAAAGATGGATTCACTTCATTTTTCTGTCAACCTAGGTATCTCTCTTAACAACAAGGATACACTATAACTTGAGTATTTCAACACATATATGGATACTATAATCTCAGAACTATTGGATATAGTGAATTTTACAAGGGCAGGAAATATTTACATGCACTGAGTGTCTTGAAGTGGTCCAAATCGCTACAAATTGATGTTATCAAAGCAACTACTGTTAACAGAAAAATCACTGTTTCATTGAATTGAGACTATTTCACTGACTTAAAATGCATTGTATAGTGCTTGGTTTAAAACAATCTATAACGCAATAAATTTCTTATATCAAGCTTCAAAAAACAAAACAAAACACTATTCTGTGCAGGACACGGAACAGCATGTCCACGGCAGCAGCTGGGCTAGCACCCTTCATGAGAAACGGAAGCGCTCCGTTGTCAACAGGAACATGAGATGCACAATGTTCAGCTGAACTTAAAAACAACGCGGATATTTACAACATAGATTCTTCTAACATAGATTTCCTGCTCAATTTCAAGGAACAAAATGTATATCAAATTATTTAAAATAGAAGAGTTCTAAGAACTTTGATTTATACACACGAGAATGCCAATATAAGAGTTTAAAAGAATGGCAAAAATAAATATTCGACATGAAATATAATTATTACTCCAGTTTAAATCTACTGAAATCTAAAGAGAAAGCTATGCTCCTTATAGTTTAAATTGCTTCCTAATTGCTTCTGATTAAAGTTTAAGATATTTAATGATAAGATAAGAATTCTTATCTAGTAAAAGGACAGAAAAACCAATTCTTAGAAAAAAGTTCTCTGTAGTTGCAAGATGTTGCTGTAGTTTTTTTGACAGATTATTCTCATGTAAAAAAATTTTAATTGTAAAATTATGGCTTTTGTTTTCCAGGATATTCTCCATTGTATACCATTAGCCCCAACTTCAGCACTTACTTTAAAAAAGGCTTTGAATGATGGTCTATATAAAAATCTGTTGCTTCCTTCCTATAAAATAATCAAAATAATAGTTAATGATTACATAGAAAAATTACTTTAGCTTGCATTAATAAAAATAAAATCCTCTATATATTTGATTTGAATGTGAATTAATGACTTTTGTACCAGATATTCTGCTCAAATTCTCCCCCTTTTCCATTTTTTGCTTATGCCCTTTCTTTTTTTTTTTTTTTATCCTCACCCGAGGACATTTTTCCATCTTTTGTTTAGATAGAAGAAAGAGAAAGGAAGAGAGAGAGAGAGAGAAACATCGACGTGAAAGAGACACATCGAGTGGTTGCCACCCGCACGACCAACCAGGGCCGGGGACAAACTGCAACCGAGGTACATGCCCTTAGCAGGAACCGAACCTGGGTCCCTCTGGACCGCAGGCCAACGCTCCAACCACTGAGCCAAACCAGCCAGGGCGCTTATGCCCTTCTATTACCAACTTCAGAAAGGAAAAAAACAACTCGAGAGGGTGAGGGGAAAAGTTCGCAAAAGCAATGGGTGCACCGTGCTGCGGCCTGGACGAGGCGGCTCTGCCTGCTGGGAACAGTCCGTGGAGCATTGAGAAGAGTCAGCATCGAGACTGCAAAGTGACCAATTCTGTTTTTCAACACAATTGAACTACTAAACGAGGGGAGAAACACAATCATAATCTTTAATATCAATGAAAAGAAGAAAAATCTTAATAAACTACTAAAACTGTTTTCTTCTAACATGTCACAGCCCCAGTTATCTCCATTCAAAATCTAAAACTGAAACCAAGGTGAGAGGTCATGAATTATTTTCCCCATCATTCTTATCCAATCCTACCTAAAAAGTTTAAACGGAAAGAGATATTAAGAACACCACCACCACCTAGAGAGGTTCTGTTGTGTCTTTATAAAGAAATGCACCATTCTGTCCCGCCAGTGTGGCTCAGTGGTTGAGCGTCGACCCTGCACCAAGAGGTCACCGGTTTGATTCCCGGTCAGGGCACATGCCCAGGTTGTGGGCCAGATCCCCAGTGGGGGGCATGCAGGAGGCGGCCAACTGATGTTCTCTCTCCTTGGTGTTTCTATCTCTCTCTCCTTCTCACTTCCTCTCTTTCTAAAATCAATAAAGGAAAAAAAAATTTTTTTTTAAAGCACCATTCTCTCACAAAGATGTAACCATTGATTCTTTCACGAAATATTTACTTAGTGCCCACCTTGCCTAGAGAACTGAACCAGGAACTAGAAATGCAACGTCAGATGAAACTCAGCAGCTACCTTGAAGATACTGTGCTAAGGAGGACCTAACATTGGGACAAATAGGTTTAGAGAAGATCGAATTACGGGGAGAGCTCCCCTGGTGTCTCTGGTGCTCCTGACATGCCCCCCTGGCTGTGCCGAGGCTGCAGGCTCTGACTCCTCTCTATCCTGCCATCTCCACGAGTTCTGTTCATGGGACTAACTGAGGGATGTGGTCACCTCTCTCCAGCCCCGAGCAGGCTTGTCTGCTGCTTGCCGACAGACGGTGGGAGCCCGAGTTCAATGCTTCTCAGGTGTGATGCAATCAATGGTGCTACAACATCCACCGGGCCCATGGGGGAGTATTTCTATGGGCCAGGGAGGAGGCAAGGGGGACCAACACAGTCCTCCGTCTTTGACCCAGAAGTCTCCTGTCTTCTGCTGGCACAGGAGAGAGAAACAGACTCACTCCTAGCCTTTAAGTTGGGTAAAACCCAAGACTCGACAGTGGTATTAATAGAGATGCAAGAGAAGGTATGAACAGTTAATGGCGAAGTTTCCCTGGGCATCCTAACATGGGAACTTCGATGGTAAAGTATCAGGCGTTAGAAGTGTAAAGACATAAAAAATGTTTCATCTCACTAAAACCATTCAAAAGTTCTCTCCAGAACTCGGTCCCACTGCCCACTATAAGAGCAAGCATTTTCAATACGTGCAGAAATGACCAATTTAACTCATATATTGGTTTCCGCTAAATAATAATGTCACTAGTACTACTGCTACTAATAACAGCTAGCATTCAAGCACACTTACTATGGGCCAAGGTTTCTCAAAGCACCTTCCATATATTAAATTCCTGCCCCGCCCCCCATAACACCTTTCTAACACAGGTGCTGTTATAACCAACATTTTACAGATGAAGAAACTGCACAGAACTGAGGTAAATTGTCTGCAGTCACACACTTGGTTAGGGCATAGTTACAAGCAAAGTAGCTCTAGACTCTGCTCTGAAATATAAGCCTCCTGCCTTCCTAGAAAAATCTGAAGCCAGGAGATCTCACTCAGGGAAGAAAATCCAAATTAAACATAAATCATTATTGGGGTGAAATTGAAGGTGTTTTGTTCTGGTTTCTAGGGACCGGACTTATCACCTTGACGTTGACTAGCTACTGCTATCCATGTCCCTGTAGTCACAGAGAAAGAAAGCAACTACCCTGCGGACTTGGTGTCCAGGGACACAGGGAGAAGACACCTGACCGGAAACACACAAAACGGTGGCGCAGCTGTGCCCTGCTGCAGGTCGGTCCTACCTTCCCCAACTAACTCGGAACATACCGAGTCAGATAGAGTGATGGCTTTTCACAGTGGTGAACAGGTATACATTTCCCCGTTATACAGACTGGGAGGAGCTAAAGACAAACATTTCCAAATGCATCGCTCTTGAAAACCTTAACAATAACACTCCCATGTCCAGTGGAAATAAAGTAACATTCCTTTCTTCTCCTTCATGTTTACATAGTGTTCTACTGATACATCAAGGGCGTATAATGGTCACACCCTGGAGTTATAAAGGCAGATGGGGGCATGGAAGACAGTACACAGGTATCAGACATGCATGATCCAACCACTGCTGACTACCAGCTGTCTTACATGTTCTTGTTCTAACTAGATTACTCTTCTATTTTTTGCCATTTAGTGGGAGATTTTAAAATTTTAAACAATAACATTAACAATAAAAGAGGATTAAAAAGGGGGGGGGGGACCAGACATTGCATAACTGAAAATTATCTACAAATTACCTTGAGAGCATCATCATTTTGAGTTTGGTGATAGTAAATCCAGCTTTGTTTATTATTTCAATTATTTCTCCAGCTTTTGAAATTGCATCTGGTTTAATCAGGGCCAATGTCCTATGTAGAAAGAAAGAAAAAGTTTGAAAATAAAAACAGCTCTCCAGTCTTTGCTCTTAATTCCCAAGCAGTGGCTATCTCCTTGATCAAACATCACAACAAGTTAGAAAGAGGGGTGCACTGAAGGGCTCCTAAAACGGCCACAAACTTAATTAACTATTTCTTCCCAACAAAATTAAAATTAACCCAAACTATCAAGAATAAGAATAAGAATAACAATAACAATAACAATAACAATAACAATAAGAATGGCTTAGGGGAAAATACGCTAAAAGTGTCCTTTCAATATGCCAAAATTAGAAGATGGGTTTTTTAAATGTGTATTTCTTAGACTACATTTTATGAAAGAGAAAATTTTCTAAGAAGTTGTATTAAATATAGGATAAGCTTGATTTCTGGTCTTGTTGGCTTTCACACGTGGGTGCTGTGCAGTCGGTTCAGCACTGAGTCGGGAAGAATGACAAATTCTTCTGTCCCTATTCACCGCATGAGCGATGCACAAAGAACCGAACGTGTCTTGCTGGACAACGAACGTGGTCAGCAGATGCCACACTCACTTTGGAGACCACAGTCTCCTCCCAGATTCCACCAGAGCAATACACGCCCCCTCCCAAGCCACAGCATTCATCGATCTTCGGCGATGGAGATCACCTGAGCGCCCTCGTTGACTAATGCGGAAACCAGGCCCAGAGAGGTAGCTTGCCTAAGGTCTCAAAGCTGGTGAGTGGCATCTTCAGAACAGAACACCCTGGTGACCACATGCCCAGGTCTGACTTCTGCACCACAAACACTGCCATGGTTAATGTTTAAGAAAAGGGGGGGGAGGGACATAATCACAAAATCCCGAAGGCGAACCTTTGCAAGTGCAAGACAGAAACCAGACCAGTTGGAGGAATTCAGTTTGTATGCCACAAGGTTACGGCAAAGAATGGCTGCCACTTTATTTTCAGGGGTCTGACGCTGACATGAACTCACAGGATCCATAAATGGAGACGGGTCTGTGCATTACAAACTGTCCCAGACTATCTTTTTTCTTTGTTTTGAAGCAGATGAGTCACCTACAGGATTTTACATCGTCGGGCTTCACCGAAGACACAATTAAAACGGTCCCTCTTTGGCTCACATTAGTTCAGTATTGTAAGTCCAGCCCACGAGCCGTTTATGCCCCACTCTGGGAGGGCGTCTGGGAGGCACAGCGCGCAGAAAACACCGGCACACCTGCTCTGCAGACGGGAAGCCATGTGAAACACTCCAACGGACAGGACCTGGTTTAAAATTAAATGCCTACAGTACACAAAGCATTGCTTACTGTGATTAATTACTCTAAACTCCTCTGTCATGGGCAGGCCTCAGGGATCATATGTGTTATTTAAGAGTGAAGACAACTCAGGAAGAAACTAAAGTGGCACAAATATGAATCGTGCCTTGTTATCTGTTGCCGCAGAATAAACCACCCCAAAGTATAGTGGCTTAAAAGTGTCCCAAGGCTCTTAGGTCGGCTGGGCAGTGGTTTCACCTGGGGTCACTCAGGCAGCTGCGTCTGACTGAGGACCGCAGGGGCGGGCTCCTCTTGCTCGTAGCCCTCGCCCTTAGGGAGCCGGACCAGGCCTCTCCATGCACAGCCGCCAGCACAGAGTCCGTGACCCAGCGCCTATCAAGCAGCCCCTGGACACACGCTTGCTGTTGTCCCTCTGGCCAATGCTAGTCACGTGGTGAAGCCCAGAGCCCATGTGAGAGGGGACCGAACAAAGACATGGCCACCAGGAAGGGGTGTTTGCTGGGGACCATCGCTGTGATAACCTCCCTCTCACCTGCACTGAGCCATGCTCTCTAGGACACAGACTGAAGAAAACCAAAAAACAGGAAAATTGTGCTTTGACATTAAAACTTCTTAGCAGTGGAGAGTGAAAAAGTTTGGCCGGCCTTCACAAACAGAATGTCTGAGATAAAAATAATAATCAAAAGCTAAAGTGTAAAATCTAATTGAATATGGATAATATAAAACAATAACGATGAATCATTAGGTTCACAAAAAATACTCCACAAAACTGGTGTATAATTCAGCAAGGCAGAAAACTGAGCTAAGCTGTCCGGAGGTTCTTATTTTCAGGAAGGCAGATCATGATATTGGCTAACGTGAGGCTTTGAAGTTCAATACTCATGCTGCAGTTTCTCGGGTAAGCACCAACCGTATAGAAAAAGAGTGTACACCTTTCAAACGAGTAGAGAAAAGAATGGACCGAAACATCCTCCACCGATCCAAACAAGTCAGAAAAGGAACACAAACAGTAACAAAACCCAAGGACAGGCAGGAGAAAAGGCACAGGGACAGAAGGCGGCATTAAACACGAGTAGATTAGGAGTTACATTAAAACTAAGTGCTACACAATAAAAGGCGAAGACTACAAGCTGGGTTACTGGATTTCTGAAGAAGAAAAAGTATTGAAGGACGAAGCACAGCAGACTGGATTTAAACGCAGATCACTGCGTGATGCAGAAAGACATAGCATACGAGGGCAGAGAGCTGAACGGGCCTGCACCGCGCACACTGCGCTGAGCAGAGCCAGGGCAGCCGCCGGCCCGCAAAGCAGACGCGGCGGAGAACTCACTGCTGGAGCTGAGGGCGCTCTCTCCGTGAGAGCAAAGGCTTGATTTCCCAAGAAGATTTAACCATTTTAAAACCTAATGACATCATTATAACATGAAAATGAACATAACTGCAGAAGAAGATGACAGATGACAAGTATAGGGAGCATTTGAACAAACCTTGGTAACTGACAGAATGAGCTGGAAAAAAATGAGTGGATACATGAAAGATGAGAACACCACAAACACAAATATGACCCAATAGGCACACACACCTGCACTTCAACCAACCAAAAAAAGAAAAAGCAGTGAAAAGGTAGAAATGTGTACAATAATACCAATAACACAACATCTGTAAATGCACACGTGCTAATCTTACCAACGAAAATCTACAGGGTCAGGTACCACTTTCCCCGGCATAAGCCATGTTGATCCTACACACCAAGACTTTCTGTTCGGTCTCAGTTTCCAGTGAGGTGCATGCTACTACAGCTGCTGAGGGTGCATAAAAAGTTTGCATTTTTTTCCTCCAGAAAATAATCCCTGCCTAAGGCTATGGGCAGTGCTTTGGTGACCAAGTGAAGAGCAAATCACAGAACCTGGTCCACAGAATTCTAAAAAGGTCGCAGCACCGAACTGGACCACTGAACACTATCTCCACTGTACACACAAGACAAAAACACAAGTTGGAATTTGGTAGGAAGACATAATATTTTCGAAATGAAAAGAAAAAGATCATATAATTGTTTTCTTACTTTTCTTTCCTACTGCCCAACTGGCGAGCTGTGTACTGGTCCCCATAATCAAGCAGCACCAATTGTCGGGAAAAGATGTTCACTTTGTTGCCTATGAATAAGTCTTCCAAGTGGAGGTCGTCATATTTGGTCCGCTTCAGAAAGGTACGGTGATTCTTTACATCATGCTAGAGCCAAAGCAACCGCACAACGAAACAATGGTCAGCAGGGGATGTTAATCATACTATAAACTAGAAAACGTTCTGAATTCTGCTTACAGAGGTTACATTGTTTCGCTTTTTGCTACAGATGCAAGTCATGACTTCTTTTAGAACTTCTGTGTTTCCTAGTCTACTCCGGCAATAACATAAACAATTCCTCTTACAAATTCAATGCTTAAAAAAAACAAACAAACAAACAAACAAAAACCCTGAATATAAAGATTTGTTTACTGCCAAATTGTTTTAGCAAATTAGTACCCCTGAAATTCCAGAGAAATTCCAAATCTCTGCCTTCTTGCCCACACAAAACCCCAATATCAAATGGAGTTATCCATAAAAAGAGGCTCTAATGAAGGAACAACAGCAATAAAAAAATAAGCAGGACCTCAGCCCAATCTTCTTCAATTTGGCCTTTTGCAGACATAACAGCTTTCCATAAGGGTGACATATTTGTGACCATGATCACCTTTACCTAGAGCCGCTTACTGACTACCTCTTAATCTGAAACCTGGATAGCCCAACCTCAGTTCTCTACCTGAAAAATATGAATTCCCTATTTTTTCCATTAATAATGTCTATGTAAAAGTATTCTTTTTTATTTTTTTGGTACGTGCCCCTAGCGGGAACTGAACCCGGGACTCTGGTCTGCAGGCCAGGGCTGTGGAAGTATTCTTAAGCACACTCTCGGAAGGGCGGTCCATCCCTCTCTCTACGCCGACGTCAAGCCCTTGCCACCCTGCAAGCAAGAGGCTCCTTTACCATCTCCACAGACCCGTCCGCTGGGTAATACAAAAGCTCGTAACGCCGATAGAGGGAAGCGTTGGGATCGTACCACTCCGCAATGAAAACGTATCTTTCACTGTGATTCTGCAAGAAAAAGAAGGGTTTTAACACTAAGACATAAAATATAAGCCCTCTTGTGGAAATCATGCAAATTGAAAGCAAGAACTACCAAATAAGTACAACAAACCATCTGCTCTACTTATTATATCAAATTTCTCTGCCTTTCTACAATGTATCAGGTGCCAACATACTCTCAGAACCACGTTCTTCGGATTTCTCACTAGCTGGCCCCAGCTGTGTCCCTCCAGCTTCACAGCCGCCCAGGCCTGAGCGGCGACCCCATCTCGGAACACGAGCCCGGCTCTGACTGCTGTGATAAGCCCGTCTAGCCGACAGCAAGTGCACCGACAGAGACAATGAATACACTGCCACGAAGAAGAAAGTTTCTGAGTGGCTAGCTCTCAGTTACATACAGTTTTAACTTTCCTAAATTTAAGTATCTCACAGTATTAACATAGCGTTGTCATTAAAGCCATAGTAACACCGTCTCTCCTTATAGACACTGTAGGAGAATGTGTAAGTCTAGGTCCTCTGAGAAGCAATGAGACGCCAAGAGAGGATTAAATGTGAAAGAATCGCGTGCCTGAAGGAGACATCCTGCCAGGGAACTCCTGCCAGAGAGAAGGGGAGGAGCCAGGGAAGCCCACTGACCTGGGACAAGCCTGACCCTGCGGGAAGGCCGGAGAGAGGCCCGGGTCCTGCTGGATGGCTGTCCAGCCCTGGGGGGCGCCCCTGGCCTTCCGGGGCACGCCTGCTCCTGTCAGGCTCTGGCTGGCCACCCTTGGGACGCACACCCTGGGCCCCACCTGCAAAAGCAGCCTGGACCGCAGAGCACAGGAGCAGGGGCCCGATCACTCACTTTCCCTCCAACTGGGGGTTTGTGAGGTGCATTCTTATGGCCGACACAGAGGATAAAATTTAAAAAGTAAGGCAAAGATTGGTCCTCCCTCCTTGACTATTAGGCAGGATTCCCCATCATATATATTATGAAAAATAAAGCCCTGGCCTGTGGTTCAGTGGTTAGAGTGTCGGCCCTCGGAATGAAGGGTTGCAGGTTTGACTCCCGGTCAAGGGCACAGACCTGGGTTGCAGGTTCATTCCCTGGGCTCTCGGGGCCCATGCAGGAGGGGCTTCTGTAGGAGGCAACCAATCAACGTGTCTCTCACACGGCTGTTTCTCTCTGTCTCATGCTCTCTCACTCCCTCCCTTCCACTCTCTCCAAAAATTTTTTAATATGTTTTCATTGACTTTTTAGAAAGAGAAGAAGGGAGAGAAAGAAACATCGATGTGAGAGAAACATCAATCGGCTGCCTTCTGCATGCCCTCTACTGGGGATTGAGCCCACAACCTGGGCATGTGCCCCAACTGGGAATCGGACCTCTCAGTCTATGGGACAGCGCTCAATCCACTGAGCCACACTGGCTGGGCAGCTCTAAAAATCAATGGAAAATATATCCTCAGGTGAGGATTAACACACACATATATATACATATACTCTTAGCCCCCCCAAAGTCCTTCGTTACGAAATGAAGACAGAGGGGAAAAGGTGTCTAAGAGTCTTGTTGCTAATTCTGGTTCTGAGTCTCTGGTTAGGGTATACAGATGTCAACAATTCACTTATAAATGTGAATTGTGTTAATAATTCACTTATAAATTCTAGTAGAAGTTGTATGCCTAGTTATGTTTATGATTATACTCATAAACTATAATGTAGGTAGTTTTCCTAGTCTGCGTGCCATGCTCTAACCGCTGAGCCAAACGGCCAAGGCTGTAGGTAGTTTTTAACACACTATTTTATCTTCCCCACAATCATCCATAAAAGATACATCTAAACAACGCTTACTAGTCAAGACAAAATAAAGGTAAAGTAAGGACACATACCATGACATTTGTAAATAGCTTTTCATACGTCTTTCTGCCTATCGATTCTTATCAATACAGCTTTCTTACGTTCAGGTTTCACTGTGCTTTCTGGTATTATGCTTCTCTTTTAATATAAAAATGGTAGTTTATTAAACATTTTACTTTCTCTATTAAAAAACTCACTCACTCGAAGCCGTGGCTGGACGCCTGCCTTCACACTGAACAAACGCATGACATTCCAGACGGAGGAAATGAGGCACAGCCAGCAGGAAGCGGAAGGCCAAGGGCAGGGAGGTCGGGCAACAGGAAAACCCAGGAACCCGGTGCTTCCGCGGACCCAGGTGGACCAACCACAACGACCCGTTAGCCTCCAATTCTGAGGCAGGTAGTCAAATTTTGTGCAACACACGAACCAGAAAACACTTTTCAAACAAAGAAAATAAACTACTGCTTATGTGGACTACTGTTTCCGGCTGACAAAGCAGCTTACAGTGAACCGATGGTATCTCCCAAGAACCAGGAAAGTGGGATACAAAGAACAACACCCCAAGAAACCCCGAGTTCTGGATCAGCCGAAGAGCGGCAGAGGGGGCGAGGGGCACCCTGAGAAAGCAGAGGCGCCGTGACAGTGGAGGAGCAGGGATCCCGCAGAGGCCTCTGCAGTGGCTGGCAGCTCACTGCAGGTGTGCGGTAAGAGGCCCTGGAAAAGGAGCCACTCTGCACGCAGCACGTGCTCCCAGAGGGCGGCCGTCAGTCCGCGGACCAGAGGGCATCCGTGGGAGAGACGGGTGCAGAGGACGCAGGAGTGGACTCGGTGTGGGTTCAAAGGCACAGCAGATGGTTGCCTGGAGCGTCTTTATTTCACCTCCATGGTTCCAGAGCTTCAAGACGAAGAGTTGTGCCGATGGACAGTGGTGACACTGCACGGCACCGTGAGTGTATTCGGTAACCCCGAGCTGATCGTATACTTACAATGGGTAAGATGGTAAATTTTCTGGTGTGTATTTTACCACAATAAAAAAAAAAGTGTGGTGGGGGAATGTCCACAGATGACCAGACAGTCCATTCATGCTCTGACTTATTCGTTCCTCAAATATTTACCAGCTGTTTATCTGCTGCCAAGCTTTGTGGTACATTCTTTAGAGTCCAAGAAACAATCCCTGACTTGTAGGAGCCCAGCAATGTAAACCCAAATATGTCAACAAGTCATCACGAGTCCTGCTGCAAGAACAATAGCAGTGACGGGTTGAGAGCCAGCACTGACTGGTAGGTGCTTCCATGTGCTCAGTACGTAGACCTAAACCCTTACCTATTACCCAGGCAACACTGTGAGAGATGGTATTATGATCTCCATTTAAAGATGATGACAGTAAAGCTCAGGTAAGTTAAAAAAATATGTCCAAGATGAGACAGCTTATTCACAGGCAAACCCAGGCCACTGGATTCCATCCAGACTCCATGCTCTTTTTTTTTTAATCCTTACCCAAGGATATTTTTCCATTGATTTTTAGATAGAGTGGGAGGGAGGCAGGGAGAGAGAGAGGGACATCGATGTGAGAGGGACACATCAACCGGTGGCCTCCCACACAAACCTGATTGGGGCCAGGGATCGAACCCACAACCAAGGTACATGACCTTGACCAGGAATTGAACCCCAGAATCTTCCACCCTTGGGCCGAGGCTCTAACGCTGAGCCACACTGACCAGAGCGAGACCCCATGCTCGTACTCTCCTGAGAGCGGTGACAGGGACCTGGGGGAGACAGGACCAGCGTCCACGCAGGCTGTTGTGCCTGCCGGGGCTCCAGAACCCGAGACGAAGCCTTGTCCATTTAATGTCCCGAGAGCAGACCTTAGAAAGCAACGAAAACCGGGCCACACCGGTCAGACTTAGAATCCTATCCACGTGTTGAAAAATGCATGTCGCACTCTATGACGCTGCATTTCAGGGGAAATTCCCTCCCAACGGGCAACAAAAACATTTTTGTTCCTCTGAATGCGTCCCTTGCCTGAGTCATCCTGAAATGGACTCAGATCGCACATCACAGAGACCAGTCTTGAACTGACCGGAAATCTGATTTCGGAATCTGCATGATTAAGAGTTAGTGAATGGTCTCGCTCAATTTTAAGCCAACCATGCGTCAGTGCGACTTCACGGACGCTCTGGAGTAAACTACGCAGATGATGAAGCTGGCATTTCAATGGGCATAGAGTTAAACCAGGTCTCTCCACCTGCTACTGCTTCACTTCCATGCCTCAGTGACAAGTACAACAAAACAAAAAGACAACCACCAAAGGCTCATATTTTCCCTCACCATGGGCTAAGCTTTAAGCATTAACTTGCTTTATACTAAACCTTTACCAAACAGCCTTCCTCCAGGGCGTCTTTCAAGGATCAAGTGTTTCTCGTACACTGGGCTGTGTGAAGCATTAACTCCAGTGTGGCCAGGACCAGTTCCAGACTGTGCTCAGCATTAACGTCAAGGACTTTCTTGCCCTTGGACTTGCCCCCGGGTCTGGCTGGAGAGTGAAGGAGAAGACTGAAGACAGAATAGTTCTTTCTCCCAACTCCTTCCCCGGCAGATGACACTGGTCAGTTGCTCCCGTCTACCAGAGACCACAGCCCCGGGTCAGCCAGCCCTTCCACTGTAGCTCATCCCCTTTGCCTGCCGGGCCTAGGGCAGCACAGGCTCCCTGCCGTTGCCCGCCGGTAACTCTGCCCACACCTTTGGAACTGGTCCCCTTAGTACACGCCTCGATGTTCCCAGTGAGCACAGCACATCTGTGTCCTGCTAGGCTCCAGAAAACTTTGGGGTCCAGACCGTTGCTGCCTCACACTGACACTTCAGCATCCTTTTCCTTGGGGGGGGGGGGAGCCTTGGGTCACGTGGGCTTTTCTTGTCATATCTAAGAAGGCCTTGCCTAACCCAAGCTCACAAAGATTTACGCCTATATTTTCCTCTGAGCTTTATCATTTTAGCTCTTACATTTCGGCCTGTAATCCATTGAGTGACTTTTCTTTCAGGATCTAACTCTACATTTTTGCATGTGGACACCCAGATGTCCTGGCAACACTTGTTGAAAGGATGGCCCCGTCCTCGATGCACGGCCCTGGGCACGCTTGTTGAAGGATGACCGTCCTCGATGCACGGCCCTGGGCAC